AGTCCCCAGTGCCAGCTTGACCAGATCACATAGGTAATGGCCTCAGCAGTTCACTGAAGTACTTCCTTATGAATTTGTAAACTCATTAAATAAACCCTAATCACATATGCTTATTGCAGTTTGACTGCTGCTATCTTTAGCCTCAAGGCTTTGATTAAAATATAATTTTTTAAAGCCTTTTCTTAGGATAATTTCAACTAAACAAGTATAGTTTACCTGTAATCCTCAACGCAGATCTTGACTCTGCTCACCCTCCACAGTTAAGGTTTTACATAGACATTCAAGTATACAGCATTGTTGTTATGCTGACGGATGCTATTGATTGTCAGAGGGGGATCCTGGGATCCAGGCACATCATGGACTCAGCTGTAGCCAGATGGTAGGTCAGGCATTTTTCAGCTAAATCAAGGTCCATTTAAATAATAAATGGGGCTGAAGATAGTGCTTTTAGCCCCTGTATAGGCTATCTGCAGTTCAAAGCCAAGTATTTCTGCAGACTAAGAGACCAAAATCTAAGAAAGGTAGACATTGGCATGGCTAGGTAATGGGATAACTTCCAACAGTGACCAGATGCTTCAGGGAAGAAATGTAATATTCCCTAATTTTATATACAACAGAGATTTTTTTATCATGGAAAAATTGAGAGGGATCCCAATATCCTGGAGGATGGAGTATTTCTTCTGAACAGCCAGGAGTAAAGGAATGATGATACATGCAGCAGACTGCATCATTCCTCTGCTAGGGATCTGTGGGCTTACAGATATTTTCAAAGCTCACACTAAATCAATATTTTTGCTTTTTTTTTCATCGCAGCTCTTAAGAACCAGAATAAAATATGTATCAAAAGGTTGGAAAGGGAGATTAATTCTGAGGTTGGTTGGGGGTGTGTGTGTGTGCTTTTTTTTTTTTTTTAAATTAATTTTGGAATAAAGAAAGCAAACCCCAACCAACAGTTGAACCTTTAAGATAAGGACAAGTGTCATTTTTGGGGACAGTAAATACAGAAGTTTAGATAATTCAATGGAAAACAAAAAAAAAGTGGTTTGATGTGAAGGAGAAAACTAATCATATATCACACAAATCATAGGTTTATGTGGCAGGTAGAATTCTGCAAGAAATATCTGAAAAGGGGGAAATAAATGTTTTTTATTTCAGTGTTTCAGCCTTTGAAAGGATGGCAAGATAGTTAGCCAGAAAATAAGGATAGTTAAAGATGAGACACTAAACAGTGGATGAGGAATCTATGTCTTCACTCTTGATTGTGGTTTTGTGAACACAACGATAAACACAAGCCAAGCAAAAAGAGGCATACTTTCAGTGACAAAGGACAGACAGAGGAGAGAAAAGGACAAAGACACTAGGGCTGCACAGAAAGTAGAGGTATAAAAGATGAATGTCTCTTGAACTGGACATCCCTGCAGTGTTAGTCAGATGAAACGGGTAATAGAAAAGCAAATGACAAGAGAATGGTGTATTGAAAACCAGTGAAAAAACATGCATTAAGTAGTATTTAGGAGCATTCAAAGCAACATGAAGATGACGAAAGAAGTACAAGGGAAAAAAAGTAGCAAAAAACAATTTGAGAGGAATGATAAAACTGTTGGTCCTAGGGGAGCTGTGAATGTCTCTAGTCCCACCTCCCACAGGAAGAAGGCCAGCACCAAGATCAGATCAGCCGTGGCTTTGTCTAGCCAGGTCTTGAACAGTTTTGAGGACAACCATCTCTGAGGCTGCTTTCTGAACAGCCCATTCCAATGCTGCAGTACAATTTAAACCCCTCATACTCTGACTTGGATGTACAGAGGCAGGACAGAAACAATCCGAATGGATCAATATTAGCAGAATTCAGTACTGTTCGATACAGCGGTCTCTCTCATTTAAAGATAAAATCAGGTGTCCTACTTGTGACTTGGCAAAGTTCAAAAAGCAACATATTCAAATCAGTTATTGTTAAGTAGATTAAATTCTGTGGGAGCAACCCTATACAGTCTTTGCTTTCCTCCTTGAAAACAACGAAAATGTTACTTCTGCTCATGAGTGGTGTGTGATCCCAAAAGGAGTATGAAGAAGACGGTCATCAGAGGCAATGCAAGGAGATGAAAAGAAAACAAACAGGATTTCATTTAGAGAAAAACAAGTAAAATATATGACTGGCTATGTAAAATGAAGAACGTAGAAAATATAAGGCACTTAACATTTATCTTGTCTTGCAATACAAAAATAAGGGAACAACAACTGAAATTAAGGCAACAAATGTAAAAATGGTAACCTTTTTAAAATACAAAACATAATTGACCTGTGGGAATTGCAGTCTTGAGCTAAAACTCCAAGCTTAATAAGATGCTTTAAAAATTACTATAGATATCTAGTTATGCTACTGAGAATAACAATAACGCATAAACACAGTAAAAACCCTTGTTTGCCAGGCAAATCAACAATTAATCTGCCTATATTTAAAGAGTAAATGTCTTCATATAGATAGATTGTTCTATTTGCCCATTATAGCCACTTCACATCTTTTTCTGAAGCATCTGGTCCTCAGTATTCTTAGATTTACGGTATCTAATTAGATTGAGTATTGATCCCAAAATCCCTTTGCTTCTAAAAATGCTCCCAAGTATACAGAAACACTTAATGGTCTCACCTTTACAGTTGGCTGTTAAGATTTCAGGCCTAGAGTGACACTTTATTTTCCCCTCCCCTTAATCCACCCCCAAACACACACACAGACTAATCCCAGCCACTTTGTTTTCTGGGACAGCAGGCACTGATACCTAGAATTTATTGCGCATACTGTTTAATGTAAAGGGAAACGGAAAAATCTATTAAATTTGATTTCAGCAAGCATATTCTCTTGAGATTTGATGGAAGTCATTCCATTTCTGTTATGTATTTCTTTGTTCTATATTTGATTTCGTTAAGGTTGCTCAGGAATATTTCTTAGCCATTTAATAATACGCATTTTGGGAGTAATAAACTTCAAGAAATTAATCAGCCATTTTCACATCAAGTCCATTTTGTGGACTGCTGACCAAAGCATAACATAAAATCGAGGCAAGTGTAGTCATGGTTGGAAAAGATGTTTTCATATGGGTCATGAGAAAGTTTTGCAAGTTCCGTGCTTCCATCCGCCTCCCCAAGTGTACGCTAATGGACATTAATTTTTGTAGGAACAATAAAAAAAACACTTCTGATCTCCTTAGAACATACAGGCAGGCTGCTTCTTGACAGCTCTGCATGTCTGAGGGGAAGGACACTTAATGCTTACACCGTGAGCTTAGTAGGAAGCGCTCGAGCTGCCCTTTAAGAGATCCCTAGGCTGGCCATCTGCAGCCCGGAATGAAAATGCTGCACTCTCTGGTAATGATGATGCTAATAAGGCTATACAATTTTTACACAAATAAAAATAAAATAGTGACTTTTTAGCTGTCCCTGGGAAAGAGATTATATAGTGTATATATATGGGATTGTTCTGTAATTACCCCCAGGTTTCAACCAAACATGCTTACAAAGTTGTAAAAAAGAAAAAAATTAAAGTTTTCTAAGTCTATACCCATTGAGTTCAATGATCACAGGATGAAGACTGTATTAATACTCAGGTCTGTCCAAGAAAATGCAGAGTAAAAGCACCGCAGGAGCATACTTCTGCTCCTCTCCTGTTTACATTGCTGGTTAAGATAAACTCACTAAGTAACAAAACAAAGTGGCTCATTTTGTTATAGAAGTAAACTTTCTTCGCCATTAGTCATCTCATCTCTTGTTGTCTAATTGTAGGTAAAATTACACAAATATGATGTCTAGAACTTCCAGTACATCTTGTTCTCGTTAAAGACTGAAAAACGTTAAAGTTACGTTCTCTTGGTGACCAAATGACTTTGGGAATATAAAAATTGATAATGACTCCATCTTAAAACTCATGAGTTTAAATTGAGTACAGGTCAATACAAACAAGAGTAGTCAATGGTTTCAGATGGCAAATCTCATCAGTTCCATTTCTAATGATATAGTATATATACTGTACAAATTGTTCTGCCACTGTTATTGGCAAATAAAACGGGGGACAAAGAGAGAAAACAACAGCTAAAGTAACCTTGTAAGGATTGTTTCCTTCATGTTGGCATGGAGAAGCTGACGCTGCCATTGGCAATGCTGTGGATGTAGGGCTACCAGTCATGTCAGTCTGGCACTTTTGAGAGGTTTTTTGAAGGAAAAAAAAAAAAATTTACTAGTGCTTATTAAAACATAGCCCAGTCCGAGTTCCCAATTTTCAGAATGAATAAAACATCTACTGGCATCAATTAATGATCCATATTTGTAGTCATTTCATCTCTGATGTGTTGACTAGGACTAGCACTTGTGTTTATTTTCTTGTAAAGAAATAGGTCTTGAATGAATGAACTGCTAAAGATTCTCCTTATTCTAATAAATTTTACAACAAAGTGCTTTTCCAGACGAATGTGCTAACACATTTTTATATGCTTTTTCTTAATTAGCTGCCTTCTTTCCTTACCATAATATGAAGACTTCATGAAATTTCATGGAAGATTATCTTCATTTCTGAATACTGAAGAGAGGTTTTCTTTATATTCTGGTGTGTGGGGTATTTATACTTTGTTTATCACCAGATGGTATTACGTATAAAAGCCACATCTCTACAAATTTAACATGTGGGCAATTTGCAGGCCTGTGTGACTTTTTTTTTTTTTTTTGAAGTATTTAGACCTCACTCCCTTGAAAGCAGTTTTGAGAAGTGACCCGTTGTCTACTATCAAAAATTATCCATGTAGTATTTCAGTTTCCTTGTTCATCCGTTATTTCATTGAAGGACAGATTATTTCTAATGAAGCGAAGTATGGGTATTCTGATAACAAAACTCAGAATGGACTCAATGCCATGTCCATAAATACATGCAAGTCTGGACCTGTTCAGAAGAAACCAGTGTGTCTCTGTACAGCTGGTGGAGGGCTTATGGTCAAGACAGTACATTCTCCCTCTTACATGGAATTCCTAATTCTTGTCTTGCAACTACCTAATATTTGGTTTTACTTCCTTTTCATCTGCTTCATCCTCACTGTCATCAACTTGCTGAATGACCAAGTCGGTCGACCCATCTTCCACAATCTCCACATCAGATCTGTTGTCTTCCCCATAGTGCCACCTGGAATCCTTATCCCCGTCTTGTGGAAATTCAAGGGGTGCTTCAGCCTCCAAGTCAATGCGAATACTGTCTATGCCAGCTTCAGCCAAACACTCATTACAGAGTCTGTAACGTCTTGTCCCCTCTTGGACTACTTGTCCTGTTAGCTCAGTCACGTGGCGTTTACACTTTCTGCAGATAGGCTTACAAGCCTGATGAATCTGGGGAAATTGAAATGAATAAATTTGATACTGTATCCACAAAGAAGTGTTTTTTAAGATGACAAAAAGTAGGGCTGGAGTAGCATCAAGTGGTAGCATTAACTCCTTTTAAGAGACAGTCATCAAACGTTAAAAATGAAACAATCACAGGCACTGTAATTGCCCACTTAAGCTCTATTACAGGACTCACATAGAGCAATACCTTTGCGACCCATCAATTAACAAATAAATTGATCCCCTTTCATACAAATTATGCTTCAAATTGACTTTAACAAAACCAGATTAATTTTCTATTACCTCTTCTTTACGGGAGTCCATATATCAACCAGATACACTTGTACTGTGTTTAATTATACTGAGACAGATTTACACATTAAACAAATCATGCAGTTACTAAAAATACATACTGTTCGAAAATGGCTACTTAGGTGATCTAGCCTGCTAAATCTTTTCCCACATGCCTCACAAGGGTAAGGGCGCTCTCCTGTATGACAGCGAAGGTGACGCTTTAGGTCTGCTTTTCTTTTCACCACGTGAGTGCAGAATGGGCACTTGAACCTCATCCTGGGCAGATCATCTGTTAGAAAATAATGTGATTAAAAAAATTAAGTCATAATATGTCTAGTCATGTAATGCTCTAGGAAAAGGCATTCTATGAGCAGAACAGCAAATCACTTTTATTAAAAAAAATATTGGCGTAGGTCTTTTTGAGCACAATGATCTTGTGCTTTTCAGTAAATTACACAGGAGTGCAGCAAAGGAAAAGGACTGCACCATTAGCTAGATTAAAATGAGCTTAAAAATATGCCAAAAGATCATGACTTAAATTTGCAAGATGAAGCTGTAGAGACACTAAATATTATGTATTTTGAAAGGCTATTCACAATTTAAAAAAAAAAAAAAAAAAAAAGAGAGAGTTAAACTTTCCAAACTTACATTTCTGGACAATACAGATGTCTTTTTGGCAATGGTGCACCAGTTCAGTAAAGTACATTTTCTCCCGGGCAGAAAAGAGGATTCACAGATGACTGTGCACCTACAGCACTAAACCCAACTCTTACCTTCAGCCCAGCTTCCCATGACACCTAGGATGGAGGGCATGCTCGTGTACGGCTCGTCTGCTTTTGAAGACTTTGATTTACTAGAAGAACGGGGTGATTCATGCTCCTGCTGCGACACAGCCAAGCTCCTCGGTATCACGTCAGACCCCTGGCTGTACTGGTATCCCACGTGAGGAGATTCAACTTCTGTTTCAATCTGAACTTGCTCCTCCGACTGAGCAATGTGGCCAGCGGGCTCGGCAGCCCTCTCCTCCAGTTTGCTTGATTTATAATGAGGAATGTCAGAAGGTTGCTGCAGTCCCAGGTGCCGGGATTTCTTTATGGAATCCTGCCTTTGCTCGTGTTTGGACAGCTGCTGCTGGGCATTTCTTTGAGAAGTTGGATAGTAGCTGAAATTGCTCCAAGCGTTTCCACCCATCATACATGTCCCTTGATCTGGACTTAAGTGCGAATGCGGGGGGCTGTTTTCTGCCCTCCAGCCTGCGCTGTACAAGCAGGATCGCTCCACGCCATTTGAACTGACATCTTTGTCTGAGAGACTGAAGTAGCGATCCTTCTCCTTCTCACTGATGTCCAGTGATGACTTAATGAACGTTTTACACACACTGATAACATCGGTCATCTGCAGATAGCTAGCAGCCGACATGACTTCGATGACATTCTGACCAGTGAGAGACAGTTTGCCTGAATACACAAAATCTAGAATAACTGTAAATGTGTCAGGAGAAAATGCCTGGAAAGTCGCTGTCGTCGGCTGACTCGTCTCCTTCGAGCTCTGTGAAAGCAGCATTTTGAAATAGCCGCTGCTGGCAAAGAGCACATTGCGATGTGCTTTAAAGACCTTTCCCTCCACCAGGATATTGCAGTCGCAGAATAAGTCTTGCCTGCGCTGCTCATTTAGTTGCTGCAAGAGGTGAAACTGGTGAGAAGAAATCTCCATTCCAGAAAAGATGAAATTAAGTGTCGCTCTAAAAAATAGAGAAAATAATGACTCTTGACTTCAGCGTCGTTCAACTTAGCCTGTCAGACCCAATTTGCAAGTAATGTGATTTATTTAAATCTATAAATATATTTAAATTACAGTATGCACAACCACACGTTCTTTTCCCAAGACCAAAACCAAAAAAAAGTGATGAAAAAGCCAAAGAAACCGGTGGACATTATTTGGCAGAGGTGTACACTACAGTCAGGAGCATCTCCTTCCCGAGGATGCAGGACAGGGTGTGTGCAACCCGCTGGCACCTCCACAATTTCTCCAACGAGACCAGGAGCCTCCGGCCGCC